ATGCAACGCAACGCGTAAAATGACAGTATAAGTCATTATAATCAGTAATTATGTCCCCACTGGTTGCAACAAATGCCTCGTTTGTAATGGGTTTTAATGTTTATGTCGCCGGGACACGGCATCAACAGTATGGTGAGGGGCGTAACATTTCCGTCTCACGCTTGAGGTATTCGGCCAATCATAATGCGCTGGATAGCTGGCCAATCACAGCACACCTCGCTTTTTCTGACCGATGAGCTTTGTAAAAATCGATGCGTTTAAGAAAGGCGGGGCATAGAGGAGAAACAATAATGTACAGTATATGGAAAATAATGTGTTTTTTGAACCTTAAACCGCACAAACACATTTCATTACACCAAATACACAAAATAATGTTCTTTTTAGCAACATCATATGACCCCTTTAAAATAGGGCCCTAAGAGACAATTCATGGATGCAATATGATACACAGATTGCCTTCTCGACTGTTTGCGTTCACTGAAGACATACTCACCAAGATGGGCATTTTGATATAATTCTGTGTGCATTTGTTCATTCAAGTTAAAGGCGGCGCGAAACAGAACTTAATTCTGTGTTTGCGCGTTGTCTGAGAGCAAGATCCTCTTTAACATTTAAAGAAAGATACATTAGCTCACAACACTGACTTATTTTTGACCGTCTCATGTAAACCAAACCTGTGAGCCTCCATTAAGTATAGAAATAGAGCACATCCTCTCTGCCTAACCTGATTAACAGGCTTTCAAACCGTGCAATAACTTACCCCATCCAGAAGCGTGTTGGAAAGATGGGTGCGAAGATCCTTCCGGAAAGGAAACTCCAGGTTGGCTATGTGAAAGACCGAATTGTCTCTGTCAATCATATGGACTTCGTCTTTTGCATCTATCAACATCATGTACCTATAAAAGCACAAGAGACAGAGTGATGAGATCGAGTTTCATTTACCCCTACCTCAAACAACTCTATGATACATAAATAATTTTTTTAAATATTTAACAGTCCAAGCATATCTATATACATATAGAATGCTGCATCAAACAAATTCATAAATGTAGGGAAAAAAATTTAGATAATAAATCAACTCCATAGTGTATTTCAAGTGATCAAGGGTTTAAGACGTTCCAATTCAGCCTATTGCAAGGGTTCCAACGTAATCAACATATATCAATGTGACGGAGGGAAGGGCATAAAAACGAAGCAGAAAGCAGCCCAAGTTTCACTATGACAGACCAAAGTGATGCATTTACATTTACATTTAGTCATTTAGCAGACGCTTTTATCCAAAGCGACTTACAAATGAGGACAATAAAAGCAGTCAAAACTAACAAAAGAGCAACAATATATAAGTGCAAATGACAAGTCTCGGTTAGCCTAACGTAGTACACGTAGCAAGGTGTATATATATATACACAGTATATTATACACACACACACAAACAAAGAAAAACAAGTAGATAGAATAGAAAAAATAGAAAGCTAGTTTGTTTTTTGTTGTTTTTTTTAAAAATAAAAAACAGAGTTTTCCTTGTTAGGGTTGCGTAATTGTCAATTTGGAACGGTGGCAAAAATCTAAAGTTTGCACAGTACTTTCTGTGTGACTTTCTATTACTAATTTTGATAAAACCGATATGATAACTGATGTGTACCCTAGCAACCACATAGCAACACCCTAGCAACCATCCCGGGTACCCTAGCAACCGCATAGCAACACCTTAGCAACCGCCCCGGGTACCCTAGCAACTGCATTGCAACACCTTAGCAACCACCCTGGGTACCCTAGCAACCGCATAGCAACACCTTAGCAACCGCCCCGGGTACCCTAGAAACTGCATAGCAATACCCTAGCAACCATCCCGGGTACCCTAGCAACTGCATTGCAACACCTTAGCAACCACCCTGGGTACCCTAGCAACCGCATAGCAACACCATAGCAACCACCCCCGAGTACCTTAGCAACCGCATAGCAACACCTTAGCAACCGCCCCGGGTACCCTAACAACCGCATAGCAAAATCCTTAGCAACCGCCCCGGGTACCCTAGCAACCGTATAGCAACACCCTAGCAACCATCCCAGGAACCCTAGCAACCAAATTGCAACACCCTAGCAACCACCCCGGGTACCCTAGCAACCGTATAGCAACACCCTAGCAACCATCCCAAGTACCCTAGCAACCATATAGCAACACCCTAGCAACCATCTCGGGAACCCTAGCAACCGCATTGCAACACCCTAGCAACTCCCCGAGTACCTTAGCAACAGCATAGCAATACCTTAGCAACCACCCCGGGTATTGATATTGATAAAAAGATTTGCAAGAAGCATGGTTAAAAGAAACATTTCAACATCTTAACATGGCGGTCAAACTGTTGAGTGATGTTTCAAAGAGAATTATGTTGAACTCAAACTTTGTATTTATGAGGGTTGGTATAAAGACCACCAAATACATTGGGGACCCTTTGAGGACCCTAACAATGACCAACAAATACAAAGAAGAATTTACTAATAAGAAACACAATGTTACAGGTAAACGATGGAAGGTCAAATAGCGGTGACTGAAAAATTTTGCAGCTACAAAACAAGAAAGAACAAGAGAAAAAGAAGTCTAGCCAGATTCAGCAGCTCTTGGCTGTTTATGAGCAGAAATTAGCAGCTGAAAAGAAAAGCACTGATTGAGAATATACATCCCGGCAGCATCGACACTGCAGGAACTGATGAGCCGCAATGATGAGCAGCAAAGCCTCATTTCATGTGGTTCACCGCCATCAGAAAAATTAAGATAAATACTTTTCATAATGGGCATAATTAAACAAAGAAAAAATAAATCAGGTGAGGTTAAGTCTAGTGAAATTTAGCGACCACTCCAGAGGTGTTCTCCTCGGTCATGTTTCCAGCATAGATGATAAATTGAAGACGATCAACTCTAAAACAGGATGCAAAAAGGGCACAGAGTAAAAGGAGGCTCCAAGAAAGCAGGCAGCTGAAAAGAGAAAGGAATATAAGCTGTATCAGGATGTAAAATAACTTGAAATCCATCCAGAGCAAACTAAATGCATGACGGATGACACGGCATGAACATCACCAACGCTTGGATGAAGCCGCAGTGGAGATTTTTATTCGATAAAACTCTTACTTCCAAAGTTTCTATAGGCTCAAATGAATGCTAGCACATGTATAATGACAGCCCTATTAACAGGTGCAGTCACATTAAAGGGGTCATATGACATTGCTAAAAAGAACATTATGTTGTGTATTTGGTGTAATGCAATGTGTTTATGCGGTTTAAGGTTCAAAAAACACATTATTTTCCATATACTGTACATTATTGTTGCTCTGTAATGGGCAAAAAGAGTCCATTGTCTACTGTCGATAGTGTAGCACAGCTCACACAGAAGTCACTTTCAAACCAAGCAGCTTTTCTGTTGGTCAGTGCGGCAAATTTGCATTACCAGCTTGGAAGCTGATATGAAATTTGTGTCGGGAAATCTTCTTCCTATTGAAATTACTCAGTTTAGAAAATGTGCTAAACACTGGTAAATGTGACCGCACCTTGAGACCATGAGCACCTTTAAGAAAACAAATGCCATGTAGGTTGGCTTCAAGCGATGCCCTGTTCAAATCCTCACGTCAGGCTGGATGAGCCACTAAATATACCTGTAGCTCGTGTCTAGTTTCTTAACAGGCTAGAAGCAGTTGAGAAGCTACACTCAAACAAAATACTTAGGACTAAAATTTAAGATTTAATTGAATTGCATATAAGATTTCAACTAATTTGGTTTACACAATTTTAACATAAACTAATAAACTTAATGTGATGCATATTTGCCATACGTAAATGAAAAAGGTAAGTGTGACGAGTGGGGTGGGGCCAAGAGCTGTGGGAACGGAGCGAGGCCGGTGGAGTAAGTGATAATGCGCGACACCTGCGCCACTCACCGGTCTCAAGTCCCACGGAGGAGCTCCATAAGGATAAAAGGAGGAGTGACGACAGTGTTGGATGAGAGAGGACCAGGCCTGGATTTTATGATGTTTTGTTTCTGCGCGGCAGTCGTCCGTGAGGGCCTGTCACGCTCTTTTAAGTTTTGTGTTTATTTTATTATTAAAGTTATGTTTGAATGTGGGACTGCTGCCGTCCGTGAGGGAGCGGAGAAGTCACCGTGATCGGCTCAATGGCATTGGTTATGCTCTCCCAATTATTGTTGGGAAATCATCGCCAGCATTCAGAAAGACAGAGTCATCATATATATATATATATATATCAAAGTCTGTGCAGTTACGGAAATGTGTTCATCATTACACCTCAACTTCAATATGATCAGCTCAATTCCCTGTTTCTGCAGCTCAGATCAGCACAGGCAGAAGGAAAGGAGTCTTGCTCGAATGCTGCACTGCTAAGCACCAAGTCACAAAAGTAACTAGCTAGTGTGATGAGTGTCCCGAAGCTTCATCAGCGTCGCCCTGGAAACAAGCGAGGAGCACCTGGCCATCATCATCACAGGCTGATCGGTCACAGCTGCACCTCATCAGGCGGCGGCTACATAAACCACGCAAGCCCTGCCATCTAGGAGATTCCTCCATGAGACTGAGCACTAACTCGCCCTCTCATTTTTCCCACAGAAAGCAGCGTGTGACCGACCAGCCCCACAGGAGCACTGCACGGACCCTCTGCACTGGGAAGACGGGAGAGAGCACTCACGGCACCGGAGCACCTACCTGGACCTTTCTCACTAGCACCCATCACCCCAATAAATCCACCCTCCGGGGTATTGATTGAGATTACTTGTCGTGTGATTCTTCACCCCGTTACACTAGACAAAACAAAGCTAAGAAACGTCTTGTTTTTGACTTCCGGCTGGTAAGACAATAACTAGTATTAACTGTTGAGCACAGGATGTTCTCAGAGTGCAGTGAGGAGCTATAGATCTCATGCCATCACATTTATATTCAGCGCGTGCGTCCACGTCATTATATGCTATTGGCCTTTTAGATGTGAATGAAGGTGTCTTCAGGGAATAACGCGAGAGTGTGATATATCCCAGTCACGTATTGTACCGAGAGAGCCGACTGAATGGGAACACATTTGACTTCAATAAACAGAGATTGGCTCAAACGCTGACAGTGTCTGCCCACATGCCAAAATGAAAAGTGTAGAAAAAAAACTCTGGTTTTGGAGATATTCAGCAATCATTTTGTAAATATTTCAAATTCATTTAATAATAATTAAAAATTGGATTAAGACGCAACAACTTCAACTAAACATGATGAGAGGAAGGCAACATGATGGATTACAATGCTCATTTCCAGTCATATAATTATTAAAACGTATCATTTTCTAAAGTAGATCCCGAATGAAATGGAGAAGCTTTAGAGCTCATTACACTTTTTCACTTTAACTGTATCAAGCATGCCAAACGGGTAACTCCTCTACCTAGATATCATACTACAGAGACTGTGTCTGTTCCCAAAACTAGCAAATACAAAAAACATCCAAACCAATTTAAGGGTAATTAATTGATTTCAGGGTAACAAATTGATGTTCAACAAATAAAAAACAGATATAATACAGATAAACAAATGATAAAATTTGGCTTAATGAATATTAGAACCCTTTCTATAAAAGCGCTTTTTGTAAATGAAATGATCACAGATCATACCTTAGACGTGCTCTGTTTGACAGAAACCTGGCTAAAACCAGATGATTACATAATTTTAAATGAGGCTACCCCCCAATATTACTGTTATAAACATGAGCCGCATCCAAAAGGTAAAGGGGGAGGTGTTGCTACAATTTAAAGCAATATTTTCAGTATTTCTCAGAGGGCGGGCTTCAAATATAACTCGTTTGAAGTAATGGTGCTTCATATAACATTATCCAGAGAAGAACATTAACAAATGTTAATGA